GGTGCCCGGGAATTGCGGCCCAAATGTCAATGAATTAATATGAAAACATCAAATTATTGAGACATTTGTCGATTTGATTACCACTTAATTGTGACACTCGTCAGTATTGTGCGATTCAATGTTATTTACACATATAATTGCCCTATAGTTTAGCCAATGTTTTTATCAATTTGTCCCTCATTTGCAATCACTTGGAAATAATTGAGACCAAAGGTTCAGTTTCTATCCATTCATTCACTGTTGAGGTCAAGTACTGAAATACAATTCACATTTAAACTAACTTATAGTTTTTTACAACATCAAATTACCACCAAATTATAATAAAGTTTGTATTTTTTAAATAACTTTTCAATTATATTCTATTTCTATTTATTTGAAATTAAATTTTTGTTTTTAATTATTGATTAACAGATAAATTGAAGTTTAATTATATTTTTATGATACAATTTGGTGTTGTTGATACAATACATGTTGATATTAGAATTATAATATATTACTGTACTGATATACAGTATACAATTGTTACTCAATTATTACTGTATTACAATAAATCTTATAAGAAATTCTATAATTTTTAATTTTTTGTCATCATGTCGATTTGATTACCACTTAATTGTGACACTCGTCAGTATTGTGCGATTCAATGTTATTTACACATATAATTGCCCTATAGTTTAGCCAATGTTTTTATCAATTTGTCCCTCATTTGCAATCACTTGCAAATAATTGAGACCAAAGGTTCAGTTTCTATCCATTCATTCACTGTTGAGGTCAAGTACTGAAATACAATTCACATTTAAACTAACTTATAGTTTTTTACAACATCAAATTATCACCAAATTATAATAAAGTTTGTATTTTTTAAATAACTTTTCAATTATATTCTATTTCTATTTATTTGAAATTAAATTTTTGTTTTTAATTATTGATTAAAAGATAAATTGAAGTTTAATTATATTTTTATGATACAATTTGGTGTTGTTGATACATGTTGATATTAGAATTATAATATATTACTGTACTGATATACAGTATACAATTGTTACTCAATTATTACTGTATTACAATAAATCTTATAAGAAATTCTATAATTTTTAATTTTTTGTCATCATTTTAAAATAACTTGTAAGTAAACTTTTTTTATAAATATAGTAAAATTTAATATTACGGTTAAATTTCAAATAATTTTTTATTTTAATAAATATATTGAAATTTTTAACAGAAATACAATTAAGTTTTATTTGAAAACAATTTTCACAACGAAGTACAGTAAATGATACATACAAAATAATTATAATTGCATACATTATCACAATATTTATACATTCACTACATAACAGACAAACAATTAATCAAAATAATTATATAATAATACAAATACAATAACATTATAATTGAATTTAATCAATAAGAAAATATTTAAAATGATTGTAATCTCTATCCTTTTCTAAACTTTAATAACTTGAGACAAAACTGATGACAACTTGTTATTAGTCGTCACTATAGCCCCGGGACTGCCGTCTATTTTTCCCCTTATTTCTGGGTCCGTCGCGATCGGAGTCGTACGAGTCGGAGAAGGACTGGAAGTTTCCTCTGCCATAACTCACAGAATAGTCGTTTTCATTTGGATCCTTTTCTTTGGGCTCAGCCTTTCTGAAAAAGGCAAAGCTCTTGTTTATTGTCTTTGGCTTTTTCCTACCATTCCTTTGCCTATGACCTCCTTTCCCCTGTCTATCATTTCTATAAAGAGGCGGCCTTTTGTTTGACGACTTTTCTCTCGGGTTATGTCTCCGCTTAGGAGGAGGTGTTGGACCAAAGTTGTCGTCTTCGAAGTCATATTCATCCGAAGAACTCATGGAATGTCTGCTTCTCTTGGGTGGTTTTTGGGGAGGCGGGGGTCTCTTAGGTGTTGGGGGTCGTCGTTGAATGTCTCCCTCCTCGAAGTCATAGAAGTCCGTGTCATCCAAGTCAACCTCTTTTGGCGGAACGTATTCGTTGTTATCTCTTCTGAAGAGAGGATTGTCGGCATAACTCTTGCGATTCATCGAAGACTTGGTCTCTAATCTGTCGATCAGATCACTCGTCGGATACGAGGGTTTAAATGAATCAAAGTCTTCGTCGTATTCATCAAATATGAGAGGACTAGGAGTTTGGTATATGTTCTGCTGCTTTGAACCACTCATTATAGTTGTTGGAAGGGCTTGAGGAGTCTGTTCACTACCGGCGCTCTCATCGTCGGGGAAATGGCATTCTTTGGTCATCACAATACTCGTGAATTTGCGAGAATTCGGGTCAGAATTCCGTTTAGTTCTCACGTTTCCTGTCTTCGGGTCATCGGTTGGCGGACTGTTAGTTGGTTTGACGCCATTCTCAACAGGTATTGCCTGAACTTCTTTGACAATCTGTTGTTTAATAAATATAATTATTGTTACATTTTCTTACAAATCCTCTCAAATGGCTCATACCGTTCGACAGCCCTTTTGTTTCAATGATTCCGGATTTAAGTCTATATTCGGGATCACAAATGGCGGCGACGGCTCCCGCTCTGGACTGTGGTCTTCATCGGTGTCAAAAGGTGTCACTCGAACCGGATATCTAAACGACTCGATCTCTTCATCATCTTCGTAGTCGTCGGGATCGTCTGGAGGGGTCGGCTCGTCGTCGTCGTGTCCATCGCCCTCGTGGTGGTGCTCTTCATCCTCGTCTGAATGCGGATATTCCTGACTGTCTTGAGGCGGAACTGGAGTTGTCGTCTCAAAGAGATTTAAACTCATGTCAGTAGTGGTGGGAAATGAAATACCGGACGCACTCTTGCGTTGAATTTTGAAGATCGGGTCATCGGATTGGGTGTCGATTTCGTTCAACGACTCAATTGATGGCGAATTTTGTGACATTTTATTGATTTGGTTTAAGTTCTCGTAAACAGCGGTTGTGTTATAATCTGAGCGATGAGTCGGAATAGCAATCGATGGCGAACTCAACAGTGGATTGATTTTGAGATATCTGGAGAGCACTTCAGCTGCGATGGTGTGGGCATTCATATCGTTGGCATCCGTTATGTTCTGCTTCTGAAACTCTTTGACCATTGATTGTCTCATATAATCAGTTGTGGACTGAGTTGTAATTAAAGGTTTCTTTTGATTGAAGCCATAATCAACGGGTTTAGGACTCGTGAAGATTGTGTCTTTTGGATCCCTGAAGACTGGACTTAAAGCCGAAGACTGTGGAGACGTATCATTAATTACATCTAATCTTGAAGACCAGTCCTTATATGTCTTTAAAGTTATTATTTTAGGGAAAAATTCGATGTTATTATCGCTTCCAGGAATAGCTTTACCGCATATATTGTGAAGGATTGCAAAAACTAACAATAAGTTCAATAACCAGTGATTTCCAAAGACCAAAATATCCTTGGAATAGAAAATTGTTTTATGAGTTAATTATGGTATAATTTAAATATTCCTACAAATACTACAGAGTACGGTATATACTGAATAGCTTTATAAAAAAAACAAAAAATAGTTTTTATAATATTAAGCTTATTTTATAATAATAAGCAGACGCTTTTTTACGTTCTCCTTGAATTTTTCAAACTTTATATAACTTATATTTACATAATTTTATTAAGATATACACCAATACTATAATTATTATAGACTATAATATATATAGTATAATATATAGTCAAATAAATTAAAATTTAGTATAAAAATAAACTAAATAAATAATCTTTTATATCAAACTGTTTTAAATTTGATTATTTTTGTTGTGAAAGAGTACTCAAATTCAGATTGAATTTATGGGCGAAAATTTCTTAACATAAGTATCTATTTTTGTCATTCTTTTGGTTTTCCGGTTAAACAAAAAGTAAATACATTATAAATTGATACAGTATTATAAATGAAGTCATTCGTGAGAATCACAAACAAAAACTCGATTTTTGTGTATCGTTTGACGGTGAATGTGTGCCATCAGTGGTTTGGGACATATCTGTCATGAAGTGGTTGTGCCAAGAAGTGACGGTTGACAACCTTTGCCCTAAACACCACTCAGCCCTCAATCTAGTCATCTGTAAATTTTCTATTAAATAATCAACTTTTCAATTCATAACAACTTATCGTAACATCAAAACAATACTTGTAAAGAATTACTTTTACTTTTTTTCTAACACTTGATTTGATTCATTATAAACATTCATTAATAGCCTAAAATTTTGTTATTAGCAATTTATTATATTATTAAACCTTTTGTTTGATTATTTTATTATTGTATTTTAAACAGATTTAATTAATCTGTAAACGAGACAATAAATTTCATTATATTGAATTAATTTTTATTTATAAACATTTTATTTCAGATTTAAATAATTATTATTTAATAAAATAAATACTTAGAGTCTAAGTCTTAGACTATGGTAATCAAGTATACAGTTTGTAAAGTGATTACATATAGAATGTTAATATTTAATACCGGTAATATAATATTAGTATTCAACTCTATTTAAAAATTATCGGAAAATTATCTTGTTTAGAAATTTTAGTACTTTATTATCTCATGTAACATTTATCACTGATATCAAATGATACATTATCAGCACTTTTTCAATATTATAGATTATATTTTAATAAAAATCACAAATGTTAAAAACAAATATCGACTGAATAGTAAGAGGTATCTTTAATAATAGTGGTGTTATGATTAATTTACTAATTTTACTCTAAGTGATAATTAGTCTAATTAAATAATATTATAATTCTCAAATATAATTTTTCAGATGAATAAAGTATTACAATTTAACATATTTTTTGATAATGTATTAGGACTACGGTATGTATGTTGGTAGAATAATAATATGCTTAATAATTAAAGAAAATTAAAATTCTAAACTTTTAGACAATTTATTTAAATTATATTTTGATTATAAAATTTTTATAAATTTATATACCAAAATTTAGATTTAATAGATTAAAACACTTTCAAAGATTTAGTTTGTAATTTGTAATTACGACCATATGACCGAGGTATTTTCTGAATGATTTAACTCTTAATGAATATACTTATATAATAGGTGATTATATGGATTCAGTGTTAAGTGATTTTGAAAATACCTCGCTAATATGATTGTTAACTATCATATTTAGCTAGATATAACAATATCTATTACCATATCTATACAATACAACTATTCTTATGCATTTTATTTTCTATTTGATATTTAAAAACACACTTTATATAACAGTTCATTGAAATAGAAATTATTCAAATAAATAATAAACAAAATATTTTTTAACATTAAATAAAGAGAGTGATTAAGAATCTATAATATTAAGCATAACAATAGATGATAAGTATCATACAATCTTATCAAATAATCCAATATACAATTAAATTTAATGATAATAATTTTACCATATTCATTACTATTTATTGATTCATAATTATGAAAAAAATAAAATACAATTAATTTCTTAATTAATAAAAGTAAAAGCAACTGAATATAATTTTGTAAAACAAAAATCAGAGTTATTCTTACGACAAATTTATCAAAAGATATAATTATTTATATTAATTTGTTAGCATAAATATTAGCAATTATAATTATTGTAAATTAAGTAAAACTTACAGAATTTTTAATTTTATTTATCATTTTATCATAATATGAAGTACTTTTGTTTAAAATTTATCACAAATGAACTAACACATACACAAACATTGGTGCAAAATAAATAAACAAAAAGTATATTTATTATGAAATGAACACCAAATTCAAACTATGAAGAATACTGGATATATAAAAATATAGTAACTGGTATTCAACAAATAAAAGATTGTCTAACAAATAAAAGTGTTTTTAACTAAAATATAGCATGCATTACATAAGCAAAAGTTATAGTATACCCATTGGTATCATCTAAACTGAATTACAAAACAACTTCAAACTCTTTGGGAACGCTTTACTTGTCATGCAATCCGAGCAATGAAGCGATCAGTTGTGTCTCATTCTCTCTCCATTACAATACAATATACAATACAATATACAATACCTGTATATTATAATCACAATAATCTATGGCTGTATTTGTTATTTTCTTAGCCAATAATTATATAGTATTTCTCACTCATATTTTTAACATAAAACTTTTTTTGAAAGGAATTTATTTCACTTCCGTTTGATTTTCATAAATTAAATACTCCTGGGAGAACTTCATTCTTATATGAACAAATAATTGGAGTTGTATTCAATGTATTGTTTGTTGTATTGTATGTGTCTTAAAATAAATAAGACGGCAAATTCCCATATAACTTACGGTAAATAAATAATATTTTTCTCAATTATTGATTTTAATCCAATATGCACTTCCACTTTCCCATAATTCACATAAATTATATGAAAACAAACAAGATTTATAATTAAATTCTAAAACTTTTACTTAATAATTATATACTCTATAAGAAATTAATTAGATATAGTCCTGTAGGAAATTTGGAAGATTGGGGACAGACAAACATTTATTAGTTGGTTCCTATTCAACTAACAAGTAAATAAAATAATATGGCTTTAAATAATATTCTTTAATACTGTATAATTTTTATTGGTTTTATTCACTAATAAAGTTTTCTAATTATTAGTTAATATAGAGAATTGCAATTACTTGTAAGATTAAGTTTAAATAAATAGGCAGTCAGTTACAGTCAGTTATAGTCAGTTACAGTCAGTTATAGTCAGTTACAGTCAGTTATAGTCAGTTACAGTGGTTTATTCGGTGCGTTCAGAACTGGTCACTATCAGCACAAAAATGGCAATCATTTAATTTGTATACTCATATTGACCATTACTCATTGAGTGAACTTGCTAAGGGCTAAGAGTTTGTGTGAAATCAATTTTTACAAATAATACCAGTATTTTACTTTTGAGGAAACCTTTATAATTTAATTTTATTTGAAAAATTTATGTCTTTAAAGTATTTAATTATAGAGAGTATTATTGCATAATAATTAGTTAAAAACCATTGAATTATTTAGTTTTAAATTATGTAAAACATAACATAAGTCACTTATACAGTATTTCATTCATATTATCTAAACAGATATATTCATATCATATAAATACTAAAATTAAACTGTAACCTGACTAATTTGATTGACAACTAAAATCAATAAGTATGAAATTCGTATTAGGAATGCTGCAATAAACACAGTAAACATTAATCTGAGAAAGCGAATTATTTTATAAATAAATATTTCGTTATTTCAAACATTTAATTGTATAATAATGGATTAAATTAAGTGGAAGATAATATAACTAATGCATAACTATATTATAATTAGAATTAAGTTATTAGCAATTATTGAGATTTAATTACATTGTGGTTATTGTTATAATTATTATATTGTTTTGTCGGAACTTTTCGTTTCCTCTGAGAGACGACTGGATTTCTATAATGTTTAACATTTTGTCGTCTTTTTGGTGATCTGATAGCAATTGGATAATAGGCTGCCATTTGTCTCCCTTTATTGCCATTATTGGAAACCGGATAACGTCTACGGATTCTGTAATACCTTCGGTACGGGTTTTGGGGAACAAATCTTCGGTTAACAATACTCTCGTCGCTCTGAAGTCCTTCCAAATTGTTGCCGAAATTGTCAGAAATAATGAAATTCTGATTTGAGGGTTGAGTCGAGTACGAGGGATAGGGATAAATAATTTTACGCCAATACAAGTTTGCATAGACAGGATGTTGTTTGATTTGGTTTTCCATTATAGAACTGGCCATTGGTTTTGGTGAATAAGATTCAATTTGATCCGATGGCAGATAGTATGGCTGTGGATATCTCTTCATATAAGCTCTCATTTGTGTCGACGGCTCACTATACGTGTATGGATAGGACTCTCTGTACACTGTTTTCGGTTCTTGGAATTCATAGTCAATATCTTCTATCGGGCCATCAAATTCTTGTGGCGTTGGTTCGCTTAAATCGATTTTCTCGATATTAGAGTTGTTGTAATCCGGGTATTCAGGACTCGTGTTGTTTGCCGTCGACTCCAGTTCTTGATTGCAATGAATTAATTGAGTCACACATGAGCTCAAGATTAAGAAAATAAATTCTCTTTGAATCTATATTTTAAAAATAAAGATTTCAATTTAATTTACGTTATATACATTTCATAACATTCAATATTTCTTAATTACCAATATATCCATTAATGTACAGAATTATTTTTAAAACTTTATTATTCAAACATTATTTTTATGGTTTGATTTAACTAATTATATACCGTAGTAAAATATTATAATTATTTAACCAAAAAATAAACCTCTTGAAAATACAGTAATATTATCAAAATATGATAAAATATATGACGTTTGGATACTATGTGATCACTGAATGACTAAAATTTAGTTTTGAATGTCTTATATATTTGAGAAGTTGAGAAATTGTAAAGTAATAGATCCGATGCATTATTATCAAAATATGATAAAATACATGACGTTTGGATACTATGTGATCACTGAATGACTAAAATTTAGTTTTGAATGTCTTATATATTTGAGAAGTTGAGAAATTGTAAAGTAATAGATCCGATGCAATACAATAAGTGATGACAATAGATGTGACTTAAAACTATGGATTTAAAAGCAAACAATAGTATGAAATCCATACTATGGATATCCTGATGTTTTTGTGGGGCCAGTATGTCATCCGTCACACCACTGGTGACCTCAAGTCTTGACTTTATGTTTGTCATCCAATAAGTGTTTGTCTAAAACCAGAAGTCCATAAAATTAAAACCAAAATACAATACAATAACTCTATTCTTAAATTATATTAAATTAATAATAACACGCTTTGGATCCCAAAGTTACTAGTACAGTACTGTAATACAGTAACTGTATATCATATTATATAAATTGTATTTTTCATATACTTTTAACAATCAAATCTTCATTTATCCAACATTTCTCATAAAATGTAATTATTTTTCAAATGAACTGTATTTTAATTAAAAATATTTCTATATATTCTTAAAAGTTCTGAGAAAATGATTTATTTAATGATTAATATAGTAGTAAATTACTGTATAACTTATGTACAGTACTGTATGTAAATCGGTATGCTTTGCGGTCAAACCTTTTTGCAATGTTTGAAACCTTTTCCCAAACAACATTTTGAACTTCAGTTTTTAATCACATATTGAAGTCTTATAGCCACAGTTTATAAAAAGACTTGAATTCCAGGTACAACTCGTATCAAAAGCAATTACTTATAAATTTAGTACGGTAGTTTTAAAACAAATTTATCTAAAAAGGTAATACTGTACGCCATTTTAATTTTCCCAAATATTTTGTATATAATAATCAAATGTACGGTACTGTATATTCTTTTATTAAAATATTTAATTATTTAAATAATGACAAATAAATTCAAATAAAAGTTATTGTACTGTATTTATAAAGTTTCAATTATAAAATATTCTTGTGGTAATACATTACTAATCAAATTCATTATGAATTTCCATTTTAATATCACTTTCAAGTGTCTCATTAGAATTTTGTACAACTTTTTTAGGAAAACTTTGGATAATATGTGCAAAAAGTTGTCTATTATTTGTCAAACAAATCATTTGATCGCAAATTTCTAAATATTTAACAATTTTATCATTTTGTGGACTCATTTCCACAACAGTTCTCATTATATCAACCAATTCATGACAAAATGTCGGATAAAAGATTTGGTGATCAACTGGTGAACTCTCAGCACTAATTGTGAGCCAAATTGTCTCAATAATTGCCAACATTTCATCCATAATAAGAGAAGTGTTCGACTGATCCTTAATATTATAAATGGTTTGTCTTAACCAACAAATGAAGGCATTCTCAGAGCACAAGACTTTTGCGCCCTTCAAGTGACTACACGTTCGTCGCAATGACTCCAATATCAAGATCTGATTCTCGTCTTCAGTCAGACGCGAGTCATACAAAACCATGAGTTCTCTGAAGACATTGCGCTTTAAACACAGTTTGATGTCGTCTTCAGTGCGCAGTCCGTCGCAAATCCAAGAAATAACAAACCGTTGCAAACGCCTCTGGGTCTCAATGTCAGGGGAATAGAGATTTTGGTAGAATTCGGGCAAAACATTCAAATCAATTGTCGGCCGATTGACCAGAAAATGTCGGACACTATCGTATAGTTTGTCGTTTGGATGCAATAATATGTCTATTATTCTGACCATAAAAACGGAGATCAAACTCTGGATTCTCATATTGTCTGAAGTGATAGCACTTCTCACGCAATCAATGATCGCTAGCCATAGGAATCGGTCGTTGGGAAAGGAGGCGACCTCCAGGTGCGAGTGGAACCGACTCAACACACAATAGGCCAGACATCGCATGTCTGCGTCACGACTCGACAGACTCGCGATGGCGTACGACAGACACCCGTACGACACAAACTTATGGCACTTCACCACCGATTGATTTGATAGCATATTATACAATAGCGGTAATAAAAACCTGGGATCAGTTAACAGGTACCCATCGGTCACATCAACCACTTGAATGGGATTCAGTGGCAAATCGATGGGAAAGTTATTTAATGTATACTTCAATTGATTTTCATTAATCGATGACAATATTTGCTCCATCTTTGGCTCTTTAAGAAGTGTCTCTTTTTGCTTGTTTTTGATGGAGTAGTGAATCGCACCATTCATTCCCCACAGGAATGGCACATATCTGTGCAGATTGTGTCCACTCGTCTCCATATAAGACAATAGTTTCAGAAGTTTTTGATCGCATGTATTGAGCGATAAGTTATAAGCGCTTAATATTAGAGAAATCATATCCTTATTGCCATTCAAATCGTTGATTAGTTTTGAGTCCTTTTCGTAGACAACACTTAAGATGCAAATCAATTGATATTTGATGTGAGAATCCATCCATTTGTGGTCAATGAGTATGTCTTTGAACAGCGAGTGCCCGCATATCATGTCCACAGTTGTCTCCAGCGATATCTTCGTATTAGCAGCCAATGTGACAATCAATTCATGGATTATAGCCAACAGTTTGTGACCAATCGTGTCCACCAACTCTTCACTCAGTGCTGTCTTCAAAGTCTTTCGCAACAAATTGGTCCACAACTCCTCTTTCGCAGCCATCATTGCCAACACATCCCGGTCACCAACACTTGCCACCAATTCATCACTTATCGTATCAATTGATGTGACCATTGATTGCCAATCGCTTTCACTCTTCAAAGTCTTTAATAATTTAAAGTATTTTTCAAATATTTCACTCATTTTTCATTGATTTCGATATAATTGAAGCAATGATTGCACTAATTGTACGCCAAATACATGACCAGTGAATGCAATGCAATGCAAACACTGTTTCTGTTTCTCATGAAAAAGTCATATGAATTACACGTGTTTTGAGACCCCATTCACTCTCACAACAGATGTCTCTCTAACTGCAAAACTAATTACAAAACTGTTTGGCAATCAAAGCATTACATATGATGTGGGTTTGACTGTTGAGAGACATATTCCCACAGTTATTGCAGTACTATTGCATGAGATTATGCTTTAGCAGTGATGGCAATATTGGCAATATTGGTGGCAAATCTCATATACAGTGTGAGTATGAATGCAGTAATGCATGGATTGTCATACATATTGGTGTTGATGTGTTGGTTATATGAATCCACGTCTTCACGTATGATATGATCTAAAAATACTGATCATTGCATCAGTGGTTCAGTTGTTGCAGTGTTTGGCAGTCGACGCAAACATTACGTTATAATCAGTGCTTATAAATAGTCACCACTTCTGATGCCAATCACAGTCATCAACACAGACTAGAGATCACATGAAAGACTATGTCTGCAGATGTCAACCAAATGATGGCATCCAATGACACCAATATGATATCAGAGCTCTTCACCAAACACATACCCAATGGATCAGCTGGTGAACCATCTGCGAGACAATTACACGTCAGCGGTGGTCACCAATCGCTGGTCCACTTTGAAAAGGTATCATTTGAGGTGATTGTGTTGCGCTCACCATATCTTCACACTATTTGTCTCTTCAGAACTGTTTAGTGACGCCAACCGATGATGAGTTGAATCAATTGACCACTTATTTGGTGAAGAAGTTGTCGGAAACGGGAGAAACCATTTATCTGGTCGGAGGGTCTGGTAATGAATGAGACAATGGGAAGCATTGAAGAGATTGTCATTTCACTGTCACTCTTGTCTTATACAGAGTCTGGAGAGAGTGGTCTGTCTGAGGATGACCTCAACTTATCGGTGGCTAATCTGCACAAACTGTCGGACAGAATAGACGCCGATTGCATAGTCTTGAGGCGACGTCGGGGTGACTGCTCGAGTGTTTGGCAATCAAAGCATTACATATGATGTGGGTTTGACTGTTGAGAGACATATTCCCACAGTTATTGCAGTACTATTGCATGAGATTATGCTTTAGCAGTGATGGCAATATTGGCAATATTGGTGGAAAATCTCATATACAGTGTGAGTATGAATGCAGTAATGCATGGATTGTGATACATATTGGTGTTGATGTGTTGGTCATATGAATCCACGTCTTCACGTATGATATGATCTAAAAATACTGATCATTGCATCAGTGGTTCACTTGTTGGCAGTGTTTGACAGTCGACGCAAACATTACGTTATAATCAGTGCTTATAAATAGTCACCACTTGTGATGCCAATCACAGTCATCAACACAGACTAGAGATCACATGAAAGACTATGTCTGCAGATGTCAACCAAATGATGGCATCCAATGACACCAATATGATATCAGAGCTCTTCACCAAACACACACCCAATGGATCAGCTGGTGAACCATCTGCGAGACAATTACACGCCAGCGGTGGTCACCAATCGCTGATCCACTTTGAAAAGGTATCATTTGAGGTGATTGTGTTGCGCTCACCATATCTTAACACTATTTGTCTGTTCAGAACTGTTTAGTGACGCCAACCGATGATGAGTTGAATCAATTGACCACTTATTTGGTGAAGAAGTTGTCGGAAACGGGAGAAACCATTTATCTGGTCGGAGGGTCAGGTAATGAATGAGACAATGGGAAGCATTGAAGAGATTGTCATTTCACTGTCACTCTTGTCTTATGCAGAGTCTGGAGAGAGTGGTCTGTCTGAGGATGACCTCAACTTATCGGTGGCTAATCTGCACAAACTGTCGGACAGAATAGACGCCGATTGCATAGTCTTGAGGCGACGTCGGGGTGACTGCTCGAGCGGACAGGTGGCCGAGTATTTGGTGCGGAAACGCGCCAAAAGCAATGACTTCCAGGAGGTGCGGGTGGCTGTGGTGGGCAATGTGGACGCCGGCAAGTCTACCCTCTTGGGGGTTCTCACTCACGGAGAGCTCGACAACGGCAGAGGTCTCGCACGACAGCGACTCTTCAGACACAAACACGAAATGGAATCCGGTTTGCAATCACTTCCATCACTTCCAACCACTAAATTAACACACATTCATACCATACAAATACACTTACAGTCAAACGATTATCCATTTTAATCATGTTATTGATTATACAGTATTTGCGACACTTTTAGTCATTTATTTATTAAACATTACTTAACATTATATTGAATGACAAATATGTCATAAAACCCCAAATTATGGTTTAAGTGAATGATAGCAATACTTATTACTGTATTTAAATGGATCGATAGGGCGGACATCAAGTGTTGGAAACGATATCCTGGGATTCGATAGTAAGGGCGAAATAGTGAACAAAACTGATCCACACGGAGGACATCTCGATTGGGTTCAGATATGTGAGGCGTCCTCCAAAGTGATCACTTTCATCGATTTGGCCGGACATGAGAGATACCTGAAGACTACCATTTTTGGTATACTGTATACCGTATTTCACTTTAAATAACATTCAATTAATGCAATGTTGTCAACAGGGATGACAGGACACGCACCCGACTATACTATGCTAATGGTTGGCGCCAACGCAGGGGTCGTAGGCATGACTAAAGAGGTATCAATAAGACAACACTATTACACTGTTTATTGTTATTAATTATTAATATATGAGTTAAACATTTTAATTGACTTATTATTAGCACTTGGGGTTAGCGCTGGCACTGAATGTACCCGTGTTTGTAGTGGTGACCAAAATAGACATGTGTCCCGACAATGTCTTACAGAATACACTAAAACTGCTGCAAAGGGTTCTCAAATCTCCCGGCTGTCGAAAGATCCCGGTTATGGTGCAGAGAGAGGACGATGTGGTGATAGCGGCCACCAATTTCGCGACCGAACGGCTTTGTCCTATATTCCAGGTGTCGAACGTGAGCGGAGACAATCTGGATCTGTTGCGAACGTTCCTCAATCTCCTGACGCCCCGCACCTCCAACCACGACAACGAGTCCGCGGAGTTCCAGATCGACGACACCTATTCTGTTCCCGTATGACTGTTGCTCACCATATGCCGTAAACTATGATTTTGATGCCATTCTGTTGATATGTTGCGGTCTTAAGGGCGTCGGAACTGTCGTATCTGGTCTTACAATGAAAGGTGTCATTCGACTCAACGATGTCTTATATCTGGGACCCGACTCTTTGGGACACTTTTCTCCGATTGCTATCAAATCAATACATCGAAAGCGAATGCCTGTGAAGGAAGTCCGAAGCGGACAGACGGCCTCTTTTGCACTCAAAAAGGTATTTTCAAATGAAAGACAAATTTTCTGGTTATTAACATAATTGTTAAAATCAGATGAAACGATCTGATATAAGGAAAGGGATGGTTATGTTGGCGCCCACTCTTAACCCTCAGGCCTATTGGGAGTTCGAGGGAGAGATACTGGTCTTACATCACCCGACGACCATTAGTCCCAGATATCAAGCAATGGGTAACTTAATGAAGACTTGTATCACTAATTGTGTGTATAATACTTGTCTCGAATTGCAGTCCATTGCGGAAGTATTCGTCAGACGGCATCCATACTGTCGATGTCGAGTCAATGTCTGCGCACCGGTGATAAGGCGACCGTTCACTTCCGGTTCATTAAGAACCCGGAATACCTTCACGTCGGCACTCGTATGGTGTTCAGAGAGGGCCGAACCAAAGCCATCGGCAACATCTCTAAACTACTGACTGGTGTTCCTCCAAATGTGATCAATAAAACCAAAACTAAAAAGATGTTCAGACAATCGTTGCCACAGAGCGGTGCCCCCTCTGGAGGCGCTCAAGAGGAGGCTATAGAGTCCATGGGAGGCAGTGTTCCCATGGATGGCGAAACTGCTAGACAGGGCCAAAGAAATGTGAGGAATAGGGGCCGACATCGAGGGGGGACCAGACATAACAAGAATTATAACTCTGAAACCACTGATATTTGCGTCGAGACCGCGACACTCAATTAAAATGGTATTTCCATATTGCAAACCAAATCACCAAACATTTATTGCCTCAACACTAGCGCGCACTCCGAGCCCTCCTATACTTGAGATGGCGTCGGGAGTGACCCTCCTCTCGATGGCCTGTATGTCGCCGATGAATGTCTGTTATGTTATTGTAATGAATGATGAATTAAAATAAAAGATATGTTTATGAATAATGTTTGCGCTATTTTCATATGTACCGTATACATTTTGTAATCACAATTGAGTGCACTTTTTATAGTAAACAACACCACTTTAAATATTACGGTAATTGTTTGCTCAAAATCAACGATTAATATGTGTAATAAATTCGTTATTTTAATTTTTATTATCATTTAGTTAATATATTTATATAATGAATTAAATATCAAAACTACATATTTAATAATTATAAAGTAAATAATATTTTAAATAAAATATTAATTTAAAAATAGAGTTTAAATTAAAAATTTGTTTCAATCTTTTAAAACAAAATAGCGATTGAAAGAATGAGATGTGTAATCGAAAATGTGAATCAATTTAATGTAAATTACAATAAATCTGACTATAATATGAAAGGTCCATTCATTTTCCCCATTAAATAACCGAAAATATTTTACAATTTTAAAGCTTTCAATAAATGTTGTTTTGTTTGATAATTAAAAAGAATCTCTAAATTAATTTAACATTAAATATAATCCTATGGTTTAGTCTTTGATCTGGTCTTTCATGTCAGGGCTCTGTTTGATGGGAACCCACTCTCCGGTCGAATGTCTCGGAGAAAAGGCTGAGTTCTCGTTAATATAGAAAGTGGAGCCACTCTTATAGCTGTCATCATATGCCTGATTTGGATCATCCGTGGAGTACAACTGATAATAAGAATTCTCCGTCGATGTAATAGTTGTCGAATCAGTGGTGTCGTCGACGGACACACCATTTTTCATGACCTCCAGCTGTTGAAGGGCTGATATCAAGTTTTGTTGCACTTCTGAGTTGTCTCTAACTGTAAGGTTTGGCTGTTTGTAGACATGAACGGGAGGCCTTAATCCCTGATAGATAATGATTGGCGGCTTGTTTTGAGCAGTGGAAGCACTGGTAGATTTGGCTGTGGCTACTGTGGCTGATGGGGGTGGCACCACATACGTTGGCTGTACCTGAGAACCGGACATTTGAATATCTTCCTTAAAGTTTATCCATTTACTAATGTCGGCGCTATTGCTTGTGTTACGAGTGCTCTCAGCAAACGCCAGATCTCCAGTAGGTCCACCAAATGGTCGCCGGTAGCCATACATCATAAATGGCGCGTACGGAACCCTTACTGGGTATGAGACACTCGGGAGACCCATATATTGGGGATTTAAACTCATTGGTTTAAGAGATACAGGTGCTATATTGGGGCTGGGATGGGTCATAGAGGG